TCTCTGGAGAAAGGGCAGGTGCAGATGAGCCATTTCCATTTTCCACTCCCGCAACTCCCACAACCTCCCGTCCAGACCTGCCGCCAAGACGTGCTTGTACAGAAGCCCAAACCGAAGCACGTTTTGGATTAATTTTCTGGCCGTTATTTTCCTGCAAATCTATCTTGTGCCTTTGATTAAGGGCTTTCTTTCTTTTTTTGCCATGAATTTCAATGAATCTGAACTTAGCAGTGTTTTCTACTGGCCATGACATTTAGCACAGGCATTGACCAAAGGAAATAAGGCTTCAGACAAGCGAGGATTATAGGAGACCCCAAAAACCAGAACTGAGCTCCTGCTCTGAATATCTTGAAGCTAATGACATTGGCCCATCACCATGGACACTCGGCAAGTGAAAGTGTCCAAAGTCTGAAGTCAGGTCTCTTCCTAAAAGGAAAAGGGGGATAACACCAGAATGTTCTCCACTCATTCACCACTTTAATCTTGTAAATACTAAAAAGTGTAATAGATTGCCAATCCTACTCCTTTCTCCAACAGATCTCACTAGGACTATCTTTTATATGTTAAGAAAGAGACTGAAGCAGAATGTTATCACGACTCTGCTCAAAATCTGTCATAGCAAGGTCTTGGGATATGCAACTCATTGCTTTTATTGCTTAATTCTCCAAAGTAGAATTGGGCACATGTTTTACATGTTTCATCTTCTTGGTAGATGGAAAGTCCTTTGAAATTGCTAATTAAGCATATTTGCGTCTCACTCATACCTGATACAGGGGGAGGTACTCAGCACTTTGGTTCAACCCTTTCAATAAATATTTATTAACAAATTAATGTGTAAAAAAGGAGAAACCAGGTAACAAATTTGTTTTGCCTGAATTATGATCTTTCAGCCAATGGCTATAGTAAAGGAGGGAGGAAGAAAGAGGTACAAAATTTGAGAAAGAAAAAAAAAAAGAGTTTGGGCTGATTGAAAAGTATATAATTTCAAAGATCCCCTTGAATTTCAATAAAGACATGATAGAAAACATACTTAAGGGCAATTGTGCATTTCAATAGAATATCCTTTCTGACATTCCCCCTGGAAGGAAGGAGCCCAAAGTGTTGCAGTAATTTGTATTGTATTATTTTGTATTAATAGCCAAACGGGAAAATAATGGAGTTAACTGACATTGGAAATGACTAACACAATTGAACCCAAGCCCGCACACTTTTCTTACAAAAGTGAATGAAACTAAAATGACCATAAGAAAACCTGGTAATCCAGCCCCACGCTTCAAATCACCCCTGATAAATTAAGATCCCACCTGATCTTCAATGTTTCCAGGAAAACACAATCCTGGAGACGTTAAAGGTCATAAAAGGAGTTTAAAAGTATATTCATAAGCTCTTTTGGGTTTCAACAATGAGGGTCACCAAACTTAACACACACATTTTGTGATGTAATTTTCCAAGTCACGTATCTTTAAATCACCATGTCTCATATCTGTCCCTGTTCCAACTGTTTGCTGGTGTCTGTCTTGCTGAAATGGTTTCAATTAGAGCCTGGAAAGAGTTGATACAGAACTCTTTCACAGTGCCTGCCAACAGGGGAATTGATTTTCAACATTGCTGTTTTTCATCCAAAAAAAAAAAAAAAAATTTCCCCTTCCCACCCTTGAGTTAAAAGAGATTATTCTCAGACAGGCATTTAGCTGATTTTTAATGTCAAAGAAACTTAATTTGCAAACTCGTTAGAAACTCTTTAGTAAAAAGCAGCCTAGTAAAACAGATGATTAATATTGGTAAGCTCCTCATTTGCATATTAATTAGTCTCTCTACTCAACTAATTAAAACTGTGCTGCCTGTTTGAGGACTTTCTTCTAGAATGCTGGTCTCATTTCTGTTTAAGCTTGTATTTTAACTAAATTAAGGGTTAGTGGTTATTTTGTACTTTTCTTAATGTATTAATTTTTTTCATCTGTGATACTTAGGACTCCTGAAGGTCCTACTACCATCTCCAAGCAGCCACATCATTTGTCCAAGTCACTTTTATCCCTGTTATTTCTGTGCTCTTTCAGGTGTGGATGTGGAGAAAGCAATTGGATGACCCAGGGGCCGGTAAGGACTAAGAATATGTAAGAAAAGGACCCAATTATATTTCTCTATGTTTCTTTCCAGTCTTGCTCTATAGATGTACATTTCCAGTATGTGTATATATATGTACACATTGTGCATATATATATACACATACTGGATGAGCATGCTGATCATTGAGCCCAAGTCCTCATGACTAGTATAATCTCTTTGTTATATTTAACTACTTAGCTACTCTAATAATTTTATTTTTTTTATTTTTATTATTATTTTTTAATATCTTTATTTTATTTTTATGTGGTGCTGAGAATCGAACCCAGTGCCTCACGCATGCCAGGTGAGCGTGTTACTACTTGAGCCACATCCTCAGTCCCCTAATAATTTTTTATGCTTCTCATTTTTAGTAGAGAACTACTGGGTGGGAAAGTAGCCTCGTCTGTTTTAGACTCCTACCTGCAGAAAGCCTAGTTGTTTGGATCATAAGAATCCGGCTCCTTAGAGGCTGGGGATGAGGGTCAGTGGTAGAACACTGGCCGAGCATGCGTGAGCCCTGGATTCTATCCCCAATACCGAATGACAACAGTGATAACAACAAAAGTAAACCAGAACCTAGCTCTTATTAGTGAGAATGTGTTTCCATGACAGGAAAGACAAAACCAAACTAAACAAACAAGCAAATACCAAAAATACTTACGGGAAATAAACAATTTTTGAGTACTGAATCCTCAACTGAGATTCAAGAGAAATTAGGTTAGTGGCAATAATTGAGTGACATTGACCAAATTTGAGTGTTTTATCTAAAGCAATCAAAAATTAATATGCAAAAAAATATGCATCAAGAATCTGCCCCAGCCAT